GGACATGTTTTACGCAGAAACTGCCTTCTAAAAGAAGTTATTGAAGGAAAGATAGAGGGGCGGATAGAAGTGACAAGAAGACGAGGAAGAAGACGTAAGAAGATGCTGGATGGCCTTGGGGACAGAAGAGGAAACAGTCATTTGAAGGAGAAAGCTCTAGATCGCATTAAGTGGAGGAATTGTTTTTGAAGAGACTGTGGACCTGTCGTCTGACAGATTACTAATGACGATGATATATTTATTACATACCTGCATAACATTCAGATATATATATATTTCAGCTTACACCATGTGTTTTTAAATGTAACACCTCACATTATAATCCAAACTTAATAAAGCAGAAAGCACTGCCACAACCAAATACAGACCTCCTGCCAGAAATGACCAAAACGGATTAACTCAGAATATAACATCTGTGAAATGCACATCTTCCTCCACTTCAAGTAAAAGGCAACCTGATTGTAAAGCTGACCACTCTCCTCTGTCAGGGCAAAAAATACATTGACTTTCAAATCTGTATCCGTTACAAAACTTAACAGCAGGGTACTTAGACATTGGAATAATTTTACTTGTGTGTTTAGGATATGTTACATTTTGTCCCTTTCAAATCCTTGGTTTGTAATCAAATGTAGGAACTGTAGTTAATATAGTAGCTTTGTGTTGCTTATGCAGATGGTGAGAGCCTAGAGGAGAGTCTACTGCTTCGTACTGCTAGCAACATTATACTAGCTAATGAAGATGATAAAGCTGTTGTGCCATGTCGGTCACATGATGCTGACACTGAAGTACAGTTATTTATTGGACGATCATATTTGAAACGAAGAAAGGTAAGTAATATTGCAGAATTAACCCTGAAATGAACATTTGTCAGGGTAAGCTTCAAGTATGTGTTTCTTCTCTTAAATGTGTTATTTTATATGATTTTATGAACATTAATACATCATATATAATGAGGTCTTAAAAGAGATTATTGAAGTTTAATGTAATTTGTTATTTTAACTGACTCATCAGACAGCTTGATGAGTGGCAGTACTTTTTGCTGTCAGCATCAATTTCTCCTCTTATTATTGTTCTGATAATTTCTGGTACAAGAACAAAGAGCAATTGGCTGAAGTATATTTTTACAGATCCTGCTAGGGTAAATAAATTTTGTCTTCATGCATATGTTGGAAAGTACAAACACTTTTACCAAAAAAATTATAAGAAGCTTTGTTTTAAGGAGGGGCATCCATAATTCAATACTTTACTAAATTCAAATCAGAATTAAAAACAATAATTTTGTTATAAGGTGCACTTAAACCGGGTAGCACAGTTGAAATACGTATATGTGGATGTGGGTATAATCCCTACAAAGTGCCAATGAGAGAAATGCACCACACATGCACCTCACATTGATTCCATAGTCTCAGTATTTCTCTAATAGTCCTATCATTCAGCACTGTATAATCCTCACAATTGAATGCATCATTAAGTAAACCAAGTTGAATATATATGGATTTTCCTAACTGGGGGATATAATCAGAGTCCTATCGACCACTTTTGAACTTTGCACTTTTGCACTTTTTTGTAAAATAAGTGTTGAAATAAATGCATCTTCTGGCTAACCACTTATTGTTTGCAGAAAAGTTTGCTGAATTCATATATTCTGGTATCATAAATTAGATATCACTTCATGCATGGCTCAACATAGAACATGTTGACACACACTATGTTGCATAATAAATGAAGTGAAAATGAATTTGAAAGGATGTGAATTGAAGTAGTTATGATCAAATTTAGGGTACTATCCCAGCAGTTGTCTGAATTGACTGAGAAGAACCATGAAAAGCCTCAATAGTTAGTTAGTTAGTTAGTTAGTTAGTTATTGGAGAGGGTGGGTTGTCTTTGTCCATTGTGCTTCCCTCTATGATATTCTACCAGTCTCTATATCCTACCGGTACTGGTGCTTACCATCAGTCCTGCCCAGCCAGCGAGATCGGTCTCTACTAGCTGAGTGGTATCTATAATGCTTCCCCCATCTACCAGAGGTATTAGAGACTACTGTTGGGCAGGAAACGTCCGTAATTTTGCTCAGTGGCATCCTTTGGAGACATGAGGTTCTTTTACGTGCCATAAAGCTACGACACGGGACCCACAGCTTAAAGTCCCTCCTGGAGGACTTGTTCCCTGAATTTTTCTGCCCTTAAAAATTCGACGACCTCCGCCGGGTATTTGAACCCGCATACTACGAGTCATGAGGTGAAAAAAGCCTCAATAAGTCAATGCCCAAAATAAAGTTTTAACCAGACACATCTGAAATACAAGTCAGAAGTTTCACCACTAGCTCAGTACTTTAATATGAATTTCATCCCAAAGCTTTGTTACATTTTACAATTTTAGATCTGTTGATAATTCTTGTAGTGATAATAGTATCAGTGTTCTCATCACCTGCTGTTTTTCATCAGCTTAAAAATTATATAACACTGCTTCCATTCATTATGTATAATGGAATTTAATTGTCATTTATTCTCTTGAGTTACTTTCATGTCCTTTATTGCATTCTAAACTTTGGTTTGTCACTTAAGTATTTCAGTTCTATTTCAGTCACATACTTCCCCAGTGCTGTCTATTTATTTTGAGGGTTTCATGTTTGCGTATGACACTGCTCTCTGTACTCATCTTGATCTGCATCCCTTGTAGTGTCAAGATACTTTGAATAAGCATCTTTCTTCTCTTTTCATCAATTGTGTAATATTTCAAATTCACAGAAACTTTTTGTTGTATTTTATATAGTCCCACTCATTAATATGGTTACTGATTGTTGTTTGAAACACTGATTTATTGTGAAATGATAAATATACTTTTTGTCGTTTCTTTGTACACAGAAATAAGTTTCTTTGTGTCTCACAGTTTTGGTGTGTTTTGGATTTACCATGTATTTGGAGATCATGATGTGGTTTAATCATATGTAGTCTAACATGTTACTTCTGATTGCTATAAATTAGATACAAATGGGACAACAGCCACATCGGAATCAGATTGTGACATATGACCCAATGGTGGGGTTCACACTGGATCCTGTTAGCCACCTGGATTCAAGCTGGTATAAGTGTATAGCTACATTAAGCTCACAAAGGCAGGATATGGATTTCTACTTGGAAGTCCGTAAGTGTCACCACTCTTGATATACTTGCACATAAAAACAGGACTAGTCCTCCCTGGTTCTGTTATCCTCGAACTAGTTTTCCCTGAAGCTGTTCACCCACAAAATAAATACAATGTCACAACTTTGAGAATTTAGGATATAGTCCATATTCAGTATTTTGTGTGACATTGAACTATGCTTTAAGCTCATGTAAGTTTCATTAATGTTGAGCACTCTGGTCACTTTCATCTTAAAGTGCTAAACATAATAAGCATGATAAATATATTGTCATGTGTATGAGTGACTATACACAAGGTTTGGACTGGTAATTGGATTGATTTAACTCTTGCAGAATTTAACTACATGCAACTATAGCATTATTGCTAATTCACACATACTGCATTTCACTACAGCAAACACTGACTCTTCTCAGTCTGCTGTGTCTTCACCAATCATTGTCTGGTAATGGCTTCCAACAGTGGACATTCCTCTTACTCTGAATTCCCGAACTATTTCTGTGCCTCAGCTACCAGCTTCTAATAACAACAGCTCACAAGGACTGAAGTGCAGATGTCCTCTAACTAACTCACTCACTCGCCAACCAAATTGCTCCACTCCATTGCACTGTACTACACTGCACCAACTCAACTGAACTCGGCTAGTCTAGTCATATAGCCTCATAGTGGACCCAGAGAACACCACTTGCAACATAACTTTTATCGTTGCGTGACATCACTGCATAAGTGATACGTTCCCCTTCTGCATGTGTATGGGTCATTACCTAGCAATGGATTTACAGTCTACATTGCTCACACCGATTCCTCTATTGTTGCACTCATATCTATTGCCACAAAACATCTTTACCCCACCGTTGCCTAGTAATGGACACATTTATACATCCCATTATTCCGGCTTTCAGATTTTGTGTCACAAAGTGGTAAAATGTAGTTTCAGTGTATGATCCTTGAAGGTTAACACAGATCAGGTATAAGTAATAATGCATCCTCATCTTCCAGTTGCTCTATGTGTTTAAAGCATGCAGGAGGGCTTTCACATATTGGTACTTCCTGGCCAAACTATATGATGTCACATTCCAGACGACTCTGTTCTTAATTCCTCTTCTGTCTATATCTCATACTGTTACTCATTTTTAAGCAAATTATCACTAGTGATTACTTACCAGGTATTTTAAGTGAAATTAAAGTTCCATATACTGTTCTCTTATGCATGTCATCAACTTTTAGATGAACCACCAAGTATAACTGAAACCAACCTAAGTGTTGACAAGAACTTGGTAGCAAATTTTGGAAGTAACATGACAATGTTCTGCAAGTCAAAGGGAATGCCATACCCAGACACCTTCTGGTTTAAGGTGGGTACTCAATTAAAATACTAATCAGTCAATCATACAGACAAGCAATGATACAAGTTGTCATGCAACAAGTTAAGGACCTTTTATCAAACAGTGTTATCTATGTGAGGCTTTCAGAAGCTTCTTCTGTGTGATCATTACAGATATCATGGATCAATGAAAAAAGTAAGTCATAGCATCAGTTCCCTGCTCACTGCCAAGGTCAACACACTCCTTCCATTAACGTGGAATACGATCAGTTGCGGTACAGTAATTGTCAGGTCTCATCCAGTGTAGGAATACTGTCATACTCATTATGTCATTTTGCAGGTCCAAACCAGCATTCCTGAAATGGTCCCATAACCTAAGCAAACAGAAACAGTAACTGTGGAAAAGGAGAGTGTACAGGCCTGCAACAGCTGAATAGAAATTATGTTTTGTTTTCCTGCATTCCAGCAGTTACCAGTACAGGGCACGAAAAATTTTTCTAATAACAGTGTCATGTAATGCATGCAATTAGTGGTGGTACAAGGTGATTCAAATATGACCAGGACTGATTTTTTTTTAAACCATAATTGCCAAACACTTACTTGCACATGTCAGTCTTCAACGTACTCCCCTCCAGAGTCAACACATTTTTTCCAATGTTCTGGAAGCATCCTGATGCCATTTTCAAAAAGGCTTGTGGTTGGCGGCATTTCCACTCCCGAACAGTCTGGATGACGGCGTCATCCACAAACTGCATGCCTTGCAAGTCTGATTTGAGCCTTCCGAACAGGTAGAAATCACTTGGGGCCAAATTAGGACTGTACGGCGGATGTGTCAGAAGGTTGCATTTCAATTTCCGGAGGGTTACCATTGTTGTTTTGGCCGTATGGCGGCGTGCATTGTCTTGAAGGAATGCTACCCGCTTTCCACCTCTCTTCCGCTTGGATTGGATCTTTTCCTTCACGTCTGTTGCCAGGAGGTCTGAGTAATAAGCTGCATTGACTGTTCTGGCATCTGTCAAAAAGTCTACATGGATAACCCCCTGCCAGTCCCAGAAGAACGTTGCCATCACTTTTCCTGCCAAACGGCTCCTCCACGCTCTCTTGGGTTTGGGAGAACTGGTATGTCGCCACTCGCGTGATGATTGCTGGGACTTGGGAATGAAGTAGTGCACCCACGTTTCATCGGTGGTCACTATAGACTTCAAAAATGCATCACCTTCGTCTTCAAACTGCTGTAGGAGATGACTGGCAACTTGCATGTGCACCATTTTGTTCACGTCCGTCAAAGTGCGTGGTACCCGCCATGCATTCACCTTGCAATAGTGCAGGTGGTATTTCATGATGTCTTCTACACTACCAACACTGATGGACAGCATTGCTCCAAGTTCCTTGATAGTGATGCACCTATTCTCACGAATAAGCGCGTCTACACGATCAATGTTTGGCTTGGTGACGGATATTCGTGGCCAACAATCATGCGGTTCATTCTGCACGCGCTCTCTGCCCTCTCTGAAGCACTTACACCACTCAAACACACAGGTCCGTGAGAGACACTCTTCCCCATACTGTTGTTGGGGTCTGTGGTGAATTTCAGCGGATGGGACGTTTTCTCCAATGAGGAATTTGATCACAATGCGTTGTTCCACGCTCCACAGTACCGTCTGTTCACTCATCACTCTAGTAACTTCCAGACAGGACTGAACAGATTCTAACCCTAACAGGAGGGAGGGTGGAGGTTGTGGCTTCACTCTCTCAAGGTCGCACAGCTGCTGCGCACTGTGGCTTGTTTACACACACATCAGTCCCCGTCATATTTGAACCACCTTTTACAAGCAGCATGGGATGATCTAGCAGTATGTGCACATAATATATGAAGCACCAGTGGAATTTGTGGTAAATCACTACATAGGACATTTGCTTTGTCTGACGTGCTACCATCATTAGTGGCATTCACATCCCTTGAACAATTTTGTATGGTGCTGTGTGGGACGTAAACCCTTAGGTTCACATGCTTCAAATTCATATTCTTTCTTAGGTTAGCACCATGTGATTACATGCAACTGCTATGTAGCCTACCAGCTACATTTAGTAGATACTAATGCCTCTGTAGTGTCCATGCTCTGATATTTATATCCTTCCTATTGCCTTTCATGCAGATCCAAGAAATTAAAAATTAAATATCTGGACAACTTATACATATATATGTAATTTTACAACATAAATTGTAGCATGTATAAGTCTTGAATTTTGTAGATTGAATCTGGAAAAATATCTTGATCTCAATGCATTGTTTTTACACTCAAAAACTCTGAGAATTTACAAATAACTGCCTTTGCATTCTTCACTAGGATGCAAAACATAATTCTAGCACAAAAACAACTTGTCAAGCAAGTAGTACTGATATTTACATTGAAAAAGGATAATTAATACTCTTCAGTGTGCTGTGAAAGTCTGGCTGATATAAATTGTGTTCGCCTTGAGAAAATTGATCCACTAGGGAAAATTCTCGTTATCATCTTGATTATCAAAATTTTGCAAATACTCTGTTACTCTCTTCTGTTGTGGAGGTTGGTTAGAATACGTCCACCACAGCTGTAAAAAAATCGTATTTTCATTGCTGTAAAGTAACTTGGCATTGATAAGAATCAAGGAAAATCTGACTACAAGTTTACATATGCTGATAAAACACATGTAGCAGGGATGATAGTGCAACCACCTGAAATAAAACATCAATTTACGTAACCCTCTTTGCCAGAAAGTGAATAGTGCAGTGCCATATACAGGATGGGGTGCAGAAACTTCCTTTTTGTGAAGACGCATTGTGAAGGGAAAGGAGGTCGCAGGAAAATGGGGATAGGCTCGGCAAATGCAGCAGTCACTAAAGTTTCTGTCTAATACCCCTCAGTAGGAAACATGAGGTGGATGAGTGAGCAGCGTGCGTTTGCTGGTGAAGCCTATTTTTCGAACAACCATTCCTACATGGCGGTGCAGTGTGCATTCCATACTCACTTTGGAATTAAGCCCAGAGGTCTGGTTCCCGACCGGAAATCGATTGTTTTATGGGTAGAGAACTTTAGGACAACCAGGAGTGTGGTGAAAAAATCATCAGGATGACAACAGACCGTTACGACACCAGAAACTGTGGAGGCAGTTCAACAGTCGATTTTGAGATCTCCAAGACGCTCCGCTCGCAAACATGCAGTTGCCCCAGACATATCCAATCGTTCAATGCGCCGAATTCTTCACGAACATCTTCATTTCCATCCCTATAAGATGGTTGTTGTGCGAGAATTGTCACCACGTGATTTCCAGAACCGAATAATGGCGTGCGAAACGTTATTGGAAGCTTTACCCCCTGACGCACTTGTTTTCTTTAGTGATGAGGCACATTTTCACCTATCCGGATATGTCAACAAGCAGAATATGCGCTATTGGAGTGGTAACAATCCCAGAGAGCTCCATGAGAGGCCACTTCACAGTGATAAGGTGACAGTATGGTGTGCGTTGTCAAGAGTTGGAGTTATTGGCCCTTATTTTTTTGAAGAAGACAATCATGCAGTTACTGTCAATTCACAGCGGTATGTGGACATGATTAAAAACTTTTTCGAACCAGCTCTTGAAGAAATGCATCTAGGAAATGTCTGGTTCCAACAGGATGGTGCCATGGCCCACACAGCCCAAGCTTCGATGACAGTTTTGAGGGCAAAGTTCCCCGGACGGCTCATCTTGCTTCGAGGTGACATCCCGTGGGCAGCGCACTCACCTGATCTAACGCCCTATGATTTTTTTATGGGGATACCTCAAGGCAGAGGTTTTTAAACATCGCCCCACAAACCTGCTTCAGCTGAAGAATGTTATTCGGCAGGAAGTAGCCCAAATTCTGGTGCACATGTTAGAACGTGCAGAGGGGAACTTCAGAAAACGGTTGCATCAGTGCACAGAGAACGGTGGCCACCACCTTCAAGATATTTTGTTTAAAACTACATGATTTAAAACTTTAAAGTATGTTCTTTCATTAGCTAAACATAAATTTTGTCTATCAGCAATAATTTTTCTTTTATTCGCATTCAAAGAAGGAAGTTTGTGCGCCCCACTCTGTATTATTGCAGGTCTTTATCAGGCTACAAGAATAGCTTCAAAACCTCTGTACACCCACAGTAAACAATAAAATATTCCTGTACAGTCATGAAGAGATTTGCAGTATGTTCTACCAGCTGCATATATATTTTTTGAGAGCACCTATTTTGAATATTACTGACATGTGAAATACAAGTAATGGATACAACTATACTGTAGCAATCATAAATATATGGAGGAAATAGTATCCCAATGTCCATACCCATTTATGCTCTTGATATCAGTTCTCTTTGTTCACTGATTACTTCACATCAACACCATTGATCACAGTACTGAACTCCCTTCCTTTAAATTCCACTTGACTGCTCTATACTACACTGAACTCAGCTTGACTGAGCTGCACTTCACTGTAAAGAAAACTTCCTCACCCAGCAACTGACTGGAAAACTTTTAAGGCCTTACTTTTTCGAATAATCTTTTGATTACAAACTAACCGACCCTATCACTCACTTACTGACACACTAACGCAGTGACTGGCTCACTAGCTCTCAACCTTTTCTTCTACAGGAATGTCATAAGTAGGGAAGTTTCTAGAATATTCTTGGATACCTCAGCTTTATTATTAGTCGTTCTTTTCCATGAACATTTCAGATGTCACAGGAGGCAGACACAGGTCAATGACATGAATCCATCTTGCCCCACTTCCATAACACTGTTTTAGTAATTCTTGAGAATCTGGTTACTCACTTTAAAATAGTTAGAGAAATCAGTGCATACAGGATAATTGAACTGATAGAATAAGGAGTATAAAATGTAGACCACTAATAATGGATCCATTGTTAGTTATGAATAAAAATTGAATATACATAATTCAGTCACATGTTTGGGTGATTAAAGATGGGGTTTGGATTGGTAATTGGATTTATTAACCACATACAGGTCATAACTACAATTAATTATAACACTATTGCTGCTTTACACAAATTACAATCACTCCACACTAATCTGTTCAGTCTATCTGCACTAGTCTTGATGGATTTATAGCACAGGAACTATAACAGACACACTGAATTACACACTCCAAATATTACATATAAATAAGGTCTTCTCATCACACGTTAAGTCTTCACAGGCCGGTTTCTAATTCTTCAACTATGAACTTCCCGTGGCTATCTACTACCAAGAACTGACTTGCTTTCTTGTTTGCATACTTCTGCTGCTACTACTACTCATAACTTGTAACTCGTAACTGTCCCAAGTCCGAGTCACATTGCGACTGACGGTCGGTCAGTCTGTCTGTCTTGGTGTTGAGCCCCGGCTGGGTCTCATTACCAGATTTTTTTGTTTTTGTTTTTTCCTTATACGGAAGTTACTGCCCTGTCCATTTGGGGTGCCCTCTCTGACGAGAGGTCGGGTCTGTCATTTGTCAGTCATAGTCTGTATTAGTAAGTCCATTGTCAGTATTTACATATGTTTACAAATTTAATCTTAATTCCTATTTCTATGTACAATATATACAAGGCCTCTGTCAATCTAGGCTCAGTACAGTAGGTTATGCCCTATTTCTACTAGTATTTGCTACAATGGCAGTATAGTCACTTGAACGGTCGTATGCCTGACCGCCGCCACGTTTAAGCCTCTTATACTTTCTGTGTTAGGCTTTGCCTTGTCCAATTTTGCGAACATTCTCATTTTCGTGATTTTGTATGACTTCTGCTTGTTACCTGCATAAATTTGTTATATAGTCATATACGTACAGGATTTTGAATGCCATGTGCAAATTGCAGACCAGTGTGCGCCTTGGAAAATTGCCAGTGGTGCAGAGAACCTTGTTTTGCAGGCGCTGCAATTTCACTAGATGAGTGTCTGCTGTGATTTCCCAGGCAGGACTAGCATAAGTCATTCGATCATTTCTATGTGCAATCTCCATGTAACTCTCTTATCGAAGATTACACCTAGATATTTTGCACTATTTAAAGATGGAATATTTCATCCATTTAGAGTGAGACAAGACTCAGGCAGTCGATGACCACGAGAGAAGTAGACCCCCTGAGTCTTATCTTCATTAATTTGAATATTCCAGTGCTGACACCAGGTCTCCATAGAGCTGAGACCGCGCTGGAGTTTTCTAACAATAAAAACCTCCTTGTGATCTGTCGCATACAGAGAGGTGTCATCTGCAAGGAGGGCCAGGTGAACACAATGTGTTTGGGGTGCATCATTTATGTACAAATTGAAATGAGTAGGGGTAAAGACTGAACCTTATGGCACCCCTGCTTGCATTTCTCTTGGGGTTGACATTTTGCCTTCAACCGAAACCCTGAATTTATGTTGAGAAAGAAAGGACCCAATAAGCTTGGTCAAACTGTTCGAGAATTCCAATTTTGATAACTTATACAGCAAGCCTGAGTGCCACGTGGTATCAAAGGCTTGATCGATGTCCAAGAACACCACAGCCGTAGACATTTTATTGTTGAAATTAAGGGTTATGTGGTCCACCAGCCTCATACATTGCAATGTCGTGCTGTAACTTGCAAGAAAACCAAACTGGCTTGCATTGAGGAGGCCTCTTTCTTCAATATGTTTTTGTAGTAATTTCAAAATTACTTTTTCGAATAATTTTCCTGTTGTGGACAGGAGGCTCATTGGACATAAATTTTGAAGGAATTATGGGTCTTTACCGGGTTTAGGTAAAGTTATTACTTTTGCTTCCTTCCAAGTATCTGGAAAATGAGAGAGCCGAAGACAATGATTAAATAAATGAGTTAGGTGAACCAGTGGTCGCCTTGGAAGTTGCTTCAGGCATTCATTTGGGATGCCGTCAATTCCACGGGCCTTTCTCAATTTCAAGGAATTTATCAATTTTTGTACATCACATGGTCTGATCCTTGGAGGGGGGTTGTCGTCTATGTCGCAGAATGGACATGGAACTAAAAATTTCAAGGAATTTATCAATTTTTGTACATCACATGGTCTGATCCTTGGAGGGGGGTTGTCGTCTATGTCGCAGAATGGACATGGAACTAAAAATTTCAAGGAATTTATCAATTTTTGTACATCACATGGTCTGATCCTTTGAGGGGGGTTGTCGTCTATGTCGCGGAATGGACATGGAACTACAGTAAACACATATCACGTGATCACTATCCATCCAATCTATTGGTACATCAGTCGGATCTACAGAAAACACAGCTTCCTCTACTGTCGCATGTTGGACCATGTTTGCAGAGCTGTTGTCTAGTAACGTGTTGATCAAATCCATTACATCACATGCATCGTGATGCATTATAATCAGTAGGGATTTGTGTTACAAGGTACAGAAAGATGTCAACCCTTTGATGACCTGTATATAGGTTGAAACATGTTGTGGTAAAATGTATACAATATTCCAAGACTATATTGATGGCTAGCATGAATAAATTATTGTTTTATTACTTTGCATGTCAGCATTATGGTAAAATATTTCACTTGGGTATGTTACTTGGATGAAGACACTATTAGTTAACATTTCCAGTATCTAGTGAGCTTTCAGTCCAAGGTATCTCATTTACAAAGTTTAACATATCTACAAGTAGCAGTTCATCAGCATGATGACAGTTGTATGTTGTGTTGCTAGATGACATGCTGTCAGCTATTTGTTGGGTTAAATCAGATGTTACCATTTTTGAAGCAGGATGGCATACCTGTGGTAACTGATGCAAGTTATGAGCTGGGAGGCAGAAACCAGTCTCTAATCATCAAACTTGTCCAGCCAGAACATGAAGGGATGTTTAGCTGTTTGGTGGAGAATGAACTGGGTACAGAGCAAGCTGAAGGGAACCTTACCATCTCTGGTAAGAATACAAAATATAACAGTGAAACAGATACTTTAATACTGAAAACATTATGTATATCACGAAATGCCTGATTGATGGCTTTGCTGTTTATTTAAACACCCATATATATATCTTATTTAATGGTGCTATTTCAACTGCAGAGCTTATGAAATGCTCGAAGAGGTAGGAAGATGAAAATTGTGTATGGTAGCTGTTATGGTTTTGGAAAGAGGTAGCTGCAGCCTACTTGAAGGAACTATACAAGCAGTCACCTTCAGACCAAGTAATACCATGAAAACCTTAGTCCAGATAAGTGGTAATCCAACCAAGTTCTAACTATGTACTTCCAGTTATCGCTACTTGTACTAATTTCTCATTCCTACAATTGTAGTTATAAAGATAAGTTAGGAAAACAAAATTATGCATTAAGCAAACACTATATACCTATAGTTTTTTTAATTTTCAACAAATTCGTGTCACATACTTCGTAAAAAAAACTGAATCCTTTTCAGAGCACTCTATAGATGAAAATAAAATGTTCTATATTGCAAGAAAGATATGAATAATTGGTTGCAGCAGAGAATCAGAAGTTGCAAGATGTTATATGTGCCCAAAATATAAAAATCTTTTCAATAATGTATATTTTGCCTTGTTTCTTTTTTATTTTTTAAATTCGTTTAGTGGGGGGTGGAGTCCAACTGGGTCCACTCGGCACGGCGGCCACTGATTGGCCTATAGTAGGCTGCCCCTGGTGATTATGATGATGGAGAATTTGGTGGAATAAAGATTGGCAGTGGAAACCGAAGTACTCGGAGAAAACCTGCCCCAGAGCCACTTTGTCCACCACAATCACACTTGACTAGACCCGGGATCAAACCCGGGCTGCCACGGTGTGAAGCCAGCGACTAACTGCTATGACACGGCCTGCCTTGTTTCTTGATCTGAAGTACCATTCCAGCATCTCCCCAGACCTCATAGAAAGTGTTTTGAAGCATTAAATGCTGAAACCCCCAAAGTAGTACATCCCTTGCAAAATTAAGAAAACTGATGATCACATGTTTCAGCATCTTGTTATTGTTGCCAGTCTGAAATACATGAAAAATGTGCCACTTCTTGAAGAAGATATCTCACTCATGGATATGAGCCCTTGTTGAGAAACCGCTAATTGTGCAGCTACTCAAGAACTTCCCAGCATTTTATGGAACCCGAAGCTTCATTACTGCGCTCACAAGAGCCCTCCACTGGTCCCTACCCTCAGCAGATTGATCCAGTCCATACCATCCTATCCTATCTCTCTAAGATCGGTTTTAGTATTGTCCACCCACCTACATCTTCGTCTTCTATAGTGGTCTCTTTCCTTCTGGCTTTCCCACCAATATCCTATATGCATTCCTCTTCTTCTCCATTCGTGCTACATGCTCAGCCCATCTCATCCTCTTTGACTTGATCATTCTAATTATACTTGGAGAAGAGTACAAGTTATGAAGTTCCTCATTATATAGTTTTTTATAACCTCCCCTAACATCATCCCATTTCAATCCAAATATTCTCCTAAGCACCCATTTGTCAAACACCCTCAGTCTATGTTCCTCCCTTAATATCAGAGACCAAGTTTCACACCCATACAGAACCATGGGTAAAATTATAGTTTTATGTTCTAATTTTTATGTTTTAGCCAGTAGATGAGAAGACAAAATGTTCTGGACTGAATTATAGCAAACATTACCTGAATTCAGTCTCCTCTTATTTTCTTCCTGAATCAGGTTTTGATTTGTTATAGCTGTTCCCAAATATCTGAACTGCGCCGCATTTTCAAAATATCTGTTATGTCATGATTTTGCCCTGCATTCTGGTGATGAGATAGCAATATATACACGTACTTAGTTTTCTCTGCGTTTACTTCTAGACCAACTTCCTTACTAGTGTCAATTAAAGTTTCTGTGTTTTTCTTTATGGTATCTATATTATCACCTAGTAGATTCACGTTATCAGCATATACCAGCAGCTGATGTATCCCATTTAATTTCAGTCCCACCTGGTTTTCCTAGAACTTCCTAATGGCATATTCTAAAGTAAAGTTGAAAAGGAGTGGCGATAAAACATCTCATTGTTTTAGACCATTCTGGATAGGGAATTTATCAGGAAAATGTTTACCTATATGGACTTTACTGTATGGTTCGTTGAAACATATTTTAATCAGCCTAACTAGTTTCATGGGTATCCCAAACTCTTATCAGAATGTTGTATTATACGTCCCTCTTAACTGAATCATATGCTTTCCTGAAGTCTTCGAATAGCTGATGTACTGTCTCATTGTACTCCCATTTTTTCTCCAATATCTGATGAATGCAAAAGATCTGATCTGTAGTTGATTTGTTATGTCCAAACCCACACTGATGATCCACAATAATTTCATCTGTATATCTGATGAATGCAAAAGATCTGATATGTAGTTGATCTGTTACGTCCAAACCCACACTGATGATCCACAATAATTTCATCTGTATATTGACTTAACCTTAAGAGATGAATATTGGATACAATTTTGTATGAAGTTAATAGCAGTGATATCCCCGATAATTACTACAGTCAGTTTTATCACCCTTTTTATGAACTGGTACAATAATAGACAACTTCCACTGATCAGGCAGTTTTTCCTTATTCGAAACAATTAATTAGTCAATTAGAAGAAGCTATGCTCAAATATTAATGTTCAAACTTTATAGTAATTCAACACAAAGGGATTGGTAGCAACATTTCTAAATGAAAAATTACTTAAACTGCAGAAACTGCACACTGGATTGCTTGTTACTAAATTAGTAAAGTGAGTATGGTAAAAGCATATCTGATTTACTGGAACTGTTAGAAAATGCATTTGGAAAATGTTGCTTCTGGCATTGCTATTGGTGAAGAGAATTCTGATGACATAGAAACAGTATCTATTTGTTTTAATTCTTCACTTCCACATGGATTTTATGTCAGTTTTTAAAGTTAATCACTAGTATTTCAGAAGAAAGACCTTCTTCTCAGTCAATTCAAAGTACTACATGTTACAAATGCCTACAGGATGCGGAAAATTTTAAACATGTGTGAGGTAAATACAGAAAGATCTTTGTACTAAAACTTGCAAATTCAGTCTCTTCAAATGTGTACATTTGACATGGATATAGCAATAAAATGATATTCAAAACATATATAAACAAAATTGAAAAGGGAGAAAAACATAACAAAAAAATTAATTCAAGAATGAAGGCATATGATATTACTGCCAAAGCTACACTTGTATTGATACATTTACCTAGCCTAGAAAGGATTTAATAGGATCTGGGATAGCTGAAATTACTACACTTTTTAAACCTTAGAAATTCTGATTTGTGAAACACACAAAGATAAAATAAGACTGTTGAAAATTAAACAGGAAAGATATCAATAGAATTGTTTAAATTCATGTTATATGAAAAGAATGTAATTTCAAGTGGTGTATTGGCCAAAGTTACTCCACACTGAGGCTGCTTTCTCATTTTTTACAGTTTATTTTTATATTACGCTTTTGGCCTGAAACTGTGAAAATGGTTACAGCCAAAGGAATTTAATAGACAATAAATTCAGTTCTTCACTGAAAAGTGAAAGCCAAAGTGCCCTTATGAACATATATTTAATTGGATCACCTGTGGCAGAATTTGGTCCAAAGAAAGTTATTGACAGCCACCGAATCCATGAAACATGTTGAAGGACACACGGTCTGCACCTAAGTTCAGTAAAAAAACTAAAGGTCTCTTCACATAATCTTACATCTTATATAATATAGGGGACAATATTTGATATATCTCTTATGTTATGTAGTGGTAAGTAGGCTGGTGTAGAGAATTACAGCGGTGTGGGTGGTGGAGATATGTCTGGAAAGTAGAACTGTTACTAGTGAATGGAACAAACATTTGTCTAACCCTGTTTATATTATCATTTGTTAGTAACTAGACACTGGGTTTGGACTGTTAATTCGATTTATTGAATTCTTATGGATTGTAACGTCATATAATTACAGTGCTTCCACTAATTCATGCACTCATCTTCTCACTGCAGTACACGCTAAGTCCTCTCAGTTTGTCTTCGCTAGCTGCTGCTAGGTGATGGCTTCCAACAATGCAGATTTCTTGGCTTCCATATTCACATTCCTATGGGCTGGTGACTGTCTCACATCTCACTGCCAGAGTTATATTTTTAGTTACTTTGCAACTGGCAGTTTACCACCAATATGTTCATAACCTCAGCATGGAGGACATAGAAACACCACTTCCAAGAAGTCCTCTGTTGTTGCTTGTTTATTCATTGTTGCTGAAATGTGTTTATTTAGCTATTGCCTAGCAGAAGACAATTTCTTCTGGCTCCATTATTCCAGCCATTATGTCATATTACATAGTGTTGTGCCCCAGGTTATTAATGGGTATGCTTTATCCTAACAAGGGGTCAAATTTACATTTTATTGATTAGAAAATAATTATAAGTTGTATAAATTTAAATATGTCGGGTGAACCACAAGTTGGAAACCCGCCGGAAGCCAGAGTTGAGACGCCGTACCTTCTTTAGCCATCCAGTGTCAGTTGTACAGTCTATAGAAATTGCTGAAAAATTAAGTGATGACACGAGGCAAGTCTCGCCACTGCACAGTTTGCTGACTATTGGTTTTGTGCGAGCAGCTTTCTGTGATGTTGAATTTTGAGGGGCTTGGATGGGAGGAGTCGCAAACACTTTGACTTTAAGAGTCGCTCAGAACAGTCGCATGGTAGGAAGGTGATGCAATGGAGTCAGATGTCATCCTCTTTTGTAAGCGTGAGTACTTGCTGTGTTTGGATCACTGATGGTTGTCAATATATGATTCTGGTTCAATGATTTTGGTTGGTTAATGTGATCTTAGTATAAAATTGGTTAAACTATTTTAGTGTATAAACCTGGGAGTAACAGAGTAATTCTGAATTATTGAGTGATGGTTTATATACCAGCATCTGGTTTAGTAATTAAGTTTGGATAGTAACCATTTGTATTTATACTGGCATGTTGGTTTGAGGTTGTAGATAATGCTAATCATGTGAGTTTGTTAATTTAAAGAAATTTGAAAGTGCTCGTGCATTTGAATGTTTTGTTCATCAACATTTATGCAATTGTTACATATAAAATTATAGAATCTTGCACGAAAAAGCGAACGATCTTGGCTATCACATTTCTAGGAGGATTGACTTTGCTGGTTCTTTTTGTGGAAAGTAACTGGACTTTGAGTAATGGCAGAAACCATGTAGCAGTAGTGGACAAGAATTCAAGTAATGAGAATAATTACTGGTTGTATGAATAGTTTGAAATAGTAGAAGCATTCATCCTTGTACTGAGTTTGAAGTTACAAGTAAAAGTGTTGGTGTGTGTGTGTTCTTATACATTTCAGAGAAACCTTATCCTGCAAGTTGTCTGGGAAAGTTGTAAGTAGAAGATGCGATAAAGTGACATGGTTGGAAGAATGCAATTTCTCGCTGTTTGAAGGGTTAATGTTTATAGTGGGTGTTATTTCAACAACTTTTGTGTTCCCACACCAGAGAATTTTAGACCATCAGATGTTGAGAAGAATTCAGAGACAGTTAGCCAGTGGTGTATAAGCTTGTCCTTGGAAGTGGGTTAAAAATCGTGCAGATTTAAACTAGAGTTTTAAAATTACAAATTCTGTGAGTAGTCCCAGAAAAACTATGAGTAGTACATGTGAACTGTAGAGAGAAATTATTTGAAATTATAGGTTCTTATGACAAAGACTTCCCTGTGACAGAAGTAGCAATGGATGAACTGTATGTACAAGTACTATCAGAACCAGTGGGAGGTTTCATTGCAGTCCCATTGGAGACACTGATTACATTATTTACTTTGAAGTATTGTAGACAGTCAGAAAATTATTTGATATTTGTTCTGAAGCCTGGCCATAAGCCATCATTTAATGTTAAGATATAAATTTTTGTTGAGAAAGGGATAAAAGGTGTTGGTTTGTGCCATTTAGGTTTAGCATATTATGGACAGTTAATGTAGGAAGTTGAAACCAGGGGTTTAATCGAAGGTTCTATGGGTATTGACAGGTTGTTTGTCGTAATGGTGTTTTATTTCATTATATCTTACTTTATTGTTGTTGGTGAGTACTCGAGTTATTTAGTTATTTGTGGACCCCCCTAGTGCAGCATGTTTTCCACCGCACAGGTTAAAAGATATCCATGGACGTCCGATAGGGGGTGAGTACAGTCATTGACCCCTATCAGGGCACAACAATAGTAATTCACATATACCTTTCAATCTCTGTTTTAATTTTTTTGAAGTATTTACAAATAGAATAATGGTTTGAAGGACACTGCTGAGGGTTAGAACTGTGAAGTACTGGAAATCTTATAACAGCTATCACTGTTTCATCCATCCATATTTAGAGTATTTTCAGTTTTTCTTGGAATTTTATTCAGTTTTACATTCTAGTTAAACAGTTATTACTATCAAACAGTCCCTTCATTATGTATCATCGTTTTATTTTGTCTAATATGTCATTGTTTTGCAGAGATACCACCAAGAGTAACCAGAACCAATCTGAATGCAAGTCAGAACATAGAGTTGAATGACAACCTAACCATTTTCTGCAAGTCAAAAGGGAAACCAGAAACAAAAACTGTCTGGTTCAAAGTAAGCACTCCTTTATTGGAAGCAGGTTCTCAGTCTTGTGAATGTAAATATTGTTGTTACATCTTAGTGACTAGACATGGGGTTTGGATTAATAATTGATTTTATTGAACTCTTATAACTTGTACCTATAAGTAATTATAATATTTTCGCTAATTCACACACTCAACTTTCTCTACAGCACACTATAAGTCTTCCCAGTTTGTTTTTGCTAGCTGTTGCTAGACTATGGCTCTCTCACTAGTCTGCACACTTTACAATAAAGTCAATGACATTGTCTTCATTGATCGTTGTATCTTCACATACCCATTGTTTGGTAGTAGCTTTAGAAAAACGAGATTCCTTTTACTGATTCCATACTTAACACCTCCTATCCTTGCTGACTTGTGACTGACTTTCAACTCCTCTATCTTGGTCAGTCAGTCAGTTACACTTCTGTTGGCTTCGCCAGCACAGTCATTCCTGTTTTGATCTTCTCAAGATCCATGACCAAGATTGTTATTTTCTCTTAGAAATGTACATGTTTCAAAATGGGGCCTCAACTTTACTCTATCTCAGAGTCAGAATCAAAGTCAGAGTTGCTTTATGAGAGGCTGTTTACTGCCAATCAGTTCGTCTTGGCATCAAGCCCCTTGAGGTTCACGACTTTTTTTTTTCTTTCTTTCTTTCTTTTTTCCCCAGCTGAACCCTTGCGGTCCTAGTCCTGATGTAACATTCTCTCTGATTAGGCTTCACCTTGCCAAGTGTACATATCACACATATAGCATGTTACTTAAACTTTTTCCTTGCACATTATATACAAATCCTCTGACAGTTCAGGCTTTGCAGAACAGATCTTGTCTATCTTATTTATCCCATGCTACAATGGCAGCTTAGTCACTTGAATGGCTATAAGCTTGACTACGGCCAAGTTTAAGCCTCTTATATTTTCTACGTCTGGCTTTGCCTGTCCTATGCTGTGAACATTTTCATTCCCATGATTTTATATGACTATGCTTGTTGCCTGCACAATTTTGTCATATAATGGTATACATAAGGAAGGTTGAAAGCTGCATATAAATCATGGACTAGTGTGTACTTTTGAAGATTTCCAGTATTGCGCAGAGCCTTGTTTTGCGTGTGCTGCAATTTTAAAAGGTAGGTGTCTGCTGCTAATTCCTAGGCAGGACAAGCATAAGTCATTACTGATCAGATCAGTGCCTTATGGAGGGCTAATTTAATGTTGGTGCTTAAACACTCACCTTTGAATAGGGAGTAGATTGTAATAAATGATCTGAAGGCCCATGTCTTCACCAGTATTCTGGTAGGGGTTACAGCGGCAGACGTTCCCCTTCCTCTGGGTTCACAGCCTCAGCTACCAGCTTCTCACAGCAACAGTTATCTCACTCACTAACTCACCAACCAAATCTTTTGCCTAGCAGTGACATGATCAATTCTACTGTTGCATGCGCAGCCATTGACACAGACGATGCAGAAAACACCATCCCTCTGTTGTTGTTTACAGGCCATTACTTTGCAGCAGCCTTTATGTAGTTGCTTATTTCATGGTTGTTACTAAGCAGCAGATCTACATGCCACATTATATTACATAGTCTCCAGGAGAGACCACATCTCACCTTTCCCAATTTTGACTGTCACAACGCTTCTCATAATCCATGAACGAAATAAACAACATAGGATTGAATTCTGATAATATTATTTAATGATTTTTTTAAGTGCCTGGAAGTGCGTGGAATATCTTCCTTTTCTAGAACCACACTGATGTTTAAAATGTTGTGCTTATTTCTAAGTATGTGAGTATACCATGTATAATTTTAACCCTTTGACGTGGTCATTTAAATTCCGCGGCCGCGGCTCCTGCGGTAATATATTCAGCCGGCCATTTAAATTTTGCTCGAAAATTATTTATTCATCATTGTTCTTAAATTCTATGAGATAGGAACATGAAACTTTCACTAAAATGATCTTAAATGGTGGTTTTATAACCTTACCTTATAATATGGGCGCCCTGTATCTCGGCCATGGAAGCAGGTTGTTTAGTATTTCNAAATCTTTTGCCTAGCAGTGACATGATCAATTCTACTGTTGCATGCGCAGCCATTGACACAGACGATGCAGAAAACACCATCCCTCTGTTGTTGTTTACAGGCCATTACTTTGCAGCAGCCTTTATATAGTTGCTTATTTCATGGTTGTTACTAAGCAGCAGATCTACATGCCACATTATATTACATAGTCTCCAGGAGAGACCACATCTCACCTTTCCCAATTTTGACTGTCACAACGCTTCTCATAATCCATGAACGAAATAAACAACATAGGATTGAATTCTGATAATATTATTTAATGATTTTTTTAAGTGCCTGGAAGTGCATGGAATATCTTCCTTTTCTAGAACCACACTGATGTTTAAAATGTTGTGCTTATTTCTAAGTATGTGAGTATACCATGTATAATTTTAATACAGTTTACAGTAATGTAATTTGATAATTATATTTTATTTTTATTTGCCATTATGTATATTAATCACTAATTTTGTTTTCCAATCTTTTGGTATTTGCTGATTCTTCAAAGAGTTCAAGTCGTTTCTCCATTAATAGGTGTCCTCCATATTTAAACAGTTCCAAATTCAAATTGTTGAGACCTGAACTTCCCTGATATTTTCTGGTACACTGTTCAAATCTTCTCTTTTTGTACCTTCTATGTTATATTCTCTTTCCTCAGTTCCATAGGCTTCCTTAATTTCTTATATATAAACATTTTCCCACAATGTAATAAAATATTTTATTATTTATCATTAAATATTTGACTAAATCCTCCACTTATGTTCCTTTGGCCTTGTTGTGCTGTCTCCATTTTTAGTAGAATGAAGGAAGTGCGTATAGGATGGTGAATTCTGCTTATTTGTTTTGATTGAGATGACCTAAAGCTTAAAGAAGTTGCAGTTGCATCCTCTATTCCCCTCATTCTTATATTCTTTACTTTCTCAGTAGTGAGAGAAGAGGAAGAGATGCTCAGACGTCATAGTGGATGCAGAAAGTCTCAAATCCAAGGTCTATGATACAGGAAGGTTCAGCGTCTTACTACTGGACCACCAGAAACTCATGAAATTGTCATTCATGTTACCAATGTGTGATAGTAATATTTATGTTTATTCATGCTTTATGTTAGGATGGTAAGCCTGTTGTTACTGATGCCAATGTAGAACTGGGGGAGAGGAACCAGACACTGACTATCAACGCTGTGAACCTGGAACATTCTGGCATGTACCAGTGTAAAGTCTGGAACTCACTTGGTGAAGCATATGCAGAAGGGAATGTCACTGTTTCAGGTAAGAACAGCTGAATATTTATAGGTTCATGTCAAGTACTCAACCCTTTGCGCTGTATCCTGATGGAAGTGTACCACTTAACTTAATGCTTTGAAAATTTCCACATCTTACTTCATTACGCAGTACTGTAGCTGTCTAGAACATTGTTCATTGTACTGTAAATGTTGCAGATAAAAGTTTTGCTATGTAAGATTTTATGGAGGCACACAGCAGCATAGTTGATTCATTATGCTACTAGCTGCGAGATCACAGGTTCGAGTCCCAATGAGATTATTAGATTTTTCAATTGACCTAATCCTTCCAGCTGCACTATGGCCCTGAAGTTGATTAAGCCTCTAATAGAAATGAGTACCAGGAATCTTCCCGGGTGTAAAGAGCGGCCGGCATATAAGGCTGATGACCTTACTGCCATCTGAGAACCGATTTTCTAGAAAATGTGGGATCCTCAACATCTCAGAACCCTATCGGACTCCACGGCCTGTTACAGGGAAGCTTTACCTTTTATGTGTTGTGGGTCAACTGACGAAGTTCTTCTTTAAAGAAGTAAATTATAAAGGGTTCTGACAATGGTATATAACACTCAGAATTGTTGGGATTTTGGACTTTGTCCATTGTCCGATATTCCAAAAACTAGAGAACACAACATTTAGGAAACAGAATCTATTTCTGTCCTCAGGTGGGGGAGAGACACCTACTTTAGGAAGAGCTGATCTCAATCACAAGGTCCAGAATACCAGATGATGGACAGAGTCCAAAAATGCAATAATTCCGAGTTTTTTAAAGACGTTTCATAGCAAAAGTATTAAATATAACACATGATTACTTTAGAAACAAATTCAGTTTCAGCTTATGAGACAAACTTACCTAAAAACTGTTAAGAACAACGTGTAGGATGTCTGATTTTACGCCACAAAATTATTTTACTATTGTGAAAACTGAAAACTCTGTTTATCCATGTTTCAGACTGTATCAAACCATATAGGATGCAAAATTTGTTACTGAGTGCTCTAATTCCATTTTGTGAAGAACAAACCCTGAGTCATGTCATGAGTGAACCTGCCATATACAAATTTCTTATATTCCATGTACCAAATGTCATGTCCATTTTTCTTAGCTGAGGTTATTAATTAAAAGAATGATATAAAATAGTCATAAATCATTCAATGTTTGCAGGCATGGAGCCAGCAAGAATAACTGACACAAATCTCAATGTCTCCCAGGACCTTGAGGTGAAGCTTGGAGAGACCCTAACAATGGTCTGCAGGTCACAAGGAAACCCAGAACCAAAAACTCACTGGTTAAAGGTCAGTTCAATAGCTCTATCTGTTGGTTGCTGAACCACAACTGTAGTGTCGAAGGAATTGGACAACAGATGTATGGAGTATTATGTTTCAGAGTCTTACAAAAGAATTTACCCATGTAATAAAAGAACAATAAAGTAATGTTTTAATGATGTAGCAGTGAAAGTGTCATAAGGTATGCTGGATAATGCAGCTTGAAGATGCTGAGGATGTTTTTTAGGTTCAGAATGTCATCGGTTACTTCTTATATTTTTCTCTTAGTCCCTTTTATAAGAAAGATATACAAGTTAGAGGATGTTACCCTCTCTTGTTGACCAGTCCTTTCCTGCTCTCTTGTGTTGATCCAGTGTCTCAGTACATTCGGAAGGAAACAACAAGCCCATTGGCTTTGGCTGGTATAGAGATAACTACTAAAACCACTTTAACTCTTTAGAACAGCAGGGTTAATGTCACTTGTAAGTTATCTGAGAATAAATGAGATCGGGCTTTCAGATCACAAAAAATGCATACTTGGATTGAAATGACTGTAATTTCTGCAATTTTAATCAAACCTCAATCAGGTTTTGTAGACAGTTACTGTAATGTTTACAGAATATGAGAATGTGGTTTGCGTTACCATTGGAATTCAGTTTAATGTGGGTGTTCTCAAACCTTTCGAAATGTAGATCAGCATTCCTATTAACATAAAATGACATGATATAACATAACATAAAGTAATGTAATATAAATTTTTTCCCCTTTTACTAGTTTCGAGGACAGTAATGCAGATCATGGTTTTAACTCACCCCTAAAGTTTTTATGCTGTTACTAAGCAGTGAACTGACACTATTAAGCCTTGACAATGAAAGCATTGTTAAATATCATGCAAAAAGAGAAATAAACAGTGAAAATCTGATTGAAGGTTTCTTTTGGGAACTGTGAATTTGTACATGAAACTGAAGGAACTCTTAAATGGTGAAAATTTATCGATTTAGCTTCTTTTAAAATAAATGATAAAAGAAGGAAGTCCATACATGAAGAAATATTAAATAGGGATTACACTGTACTTATCTTGATTACATTCAGACAGTGCAGACTTTAACCCCTTCACTGCTGAGCAATTTGTGCCCAGTCATCCTGACCCAAGTGTGCTGACTTATTTTTGTAATTTTCTGTAATATGGAAATCAAGAAGAAATAGAATTAATACATGCAGACACTTGTCTTACATGGGGTCTGCCCATATCTGAGGTCATTTCTATATTTTTTAGTTTATATAATTAATGCCATTGGACAGTCTTTTGGTCTCTAAAATTTTCTATACTAGATTTCTCTGCGTTTGCTTGAACCATCACTGCATTTACTAGCAGGCCATTTTGGAACCCAGTGTAACGTCCTATACATAACCACTGTACATTTTGTCTGCATTTTCTGTCTGTGCACTCCTCATATGCATCTCCTGTCCTTGTACCTTATATATACTGTTAAATATGTATATGTTTATTATTCTGTTAAATTCTGTTTTTCTCTCTCTCTGTGTTCCCAACTGTAGTAGTAATTAGGTCTGCATGTTTACAGGCAGCATGTCCCTCTCTAGCTTTTATTTGACACATTGACCATCTTGGGAGTATGACACCACAAATAGATCCAGAGATTATGGTATTGCCTGCCCTTCTTGTAAATAAGTAGTGGCTGAGTAAGATGGTGGGAAAATGTTTCAAGGTATCCATAATAATATGGGCTCAGCAACATAAAAGTTAAGCTGTGCAGACTCAGAAATGATAAAACTTATATGTTCCTTCTTATACCAAAAGTATTTATTGTCTCCAACAAACCTGTGGAGATTACCAGTATCTTATTCTTGACAATGCCTAAACGAAGTTTACTCCCACTTGTTATCTGTATTCATATATGTATATACAGAGTGTTTCACGACTTTATGGCATAACTGCAGGAGGTGATTTCCTAGGTCTTTGTGATCAAAAAAGCTCATACGAACATGTGTCCGATTTTGGACAGTTACGAAGTTATGACCGTTTTAAACTCAGAATAGAAGATAATGATCACTGACAATAAATGGAACAAAATAATAAACCAGCATAATACATGATACATTTAAAGTATGAATGTAAAATTAACTTCTTGAAATTACCTTTAATTTGAATTTATTGGTGCTTAAAGCTGATTTTCGAAAATGCCACCGCCGGTCGCAACACAGGCTGCCACTCTGTTGTGAACCGTGCGGGTACATACCAACCCACCACGCCTTAGGTACCTCTCAAGTGTCGAGATAACGAGAACGCACTGTCTGTAGCTGGCTAAAAATAGTGACCTGTCAGATGATAAGATACGGTTCACACGAGGGCATGTACAGGAATGAAAAAGCGGTCATAACTCTGTAACCGTCCAAAATCGGATGCATGTTTATATGAACTTTTTTGATCACAAAGACCTAGGAAATCACCTCCTGCAGTTATGCCCTAAAGTCATGAAACACCCTGTATGTAGACACACATAATTAGAATAAAGTGGACCATACTGCTACAAAACATTTCTGAATGTTACATACACCCATTCTACATTAGGATGGTAATCCTGTGGATTCTGACAGCACAATGAAGCTGAGCCACAGAAACCAGGAGCTGAACATTGCAGAGGTGAAGATGGAACACAGAGGAACATACTGCTGTGTGGTGGATAATGGACTGAAAAAAGTGCAGGTGGAGGGGACTGTTACCATCAATGGTAAATGCTTCAAACCAACGTTCTGCCACGGCAATAGGAAACTAAATTGTACCAAGCAGAGTGCATGTTCTAGCGCAGTATCTGTTGGAACAGTTTCAGTTTCCTGAGATATTTTGTCTCCTTCAATTTTGCTGCAGACATTATCATTGTTTTGAAAATGGTGCTTTAAAACTCAAGTGTATGGTTAATAAAGAAAGAATAGAGCCCTGTCAATCAGTAAAGAAAGAATCTGTAAATTTGACAGATAGTGTTCTGCTCTTGATAGGTATGTGTGTGTCATCTGCTTTGCCACCATGTTCAGAATAGCTCTGGATCTAATAGAAATAAATACAACACAACATGATGGTATGATACAGTATTCACAAAATGAAGTACTGTTAACTTAAATATTGACAACATGTTTCAACATGAACCCTACAATTTTTAAAGTTCTGTTGATATTCCATTGAAGTGGCCCTACCATTTCCACTATAAAATGCTTATTGTCATATATCTGACATTTTAATGTGAAAATAGCTACACTAACACCAGCTTGATAATGGTGATGAGTTCAACTATTCTTTATTCTTTTCTATTTGTTACTTAGTGTAACTCTCAGTATCTAGATTGTGTATGAAAGTATGAATGAATGATGGAAACAGTTTTGAAGGATGTGGTCATGACCTAATCCTGACATTTCCCTGGATGAATTGAAGGAAACCACAAGAAGTCCCAAGCAGATTAGCCAGTGTCCAAAGATTTTAATCAAGCACCTCTAAAACACAAGTCAGGAGTGTTACTGATACTCTAACCTGGCTGTTAGTTACAGGATAATTTTTGCTTTAAATGATGTGTAGAATATGTTCCTGAAGTCTGACCACTGTGTCATGAGACATTCTGCATAACGCAACAACTGTCAGTAATCTCTATTGCTGTATCAAGTTTTATTACAATAGCAAAGTAACTGGGCTTGATACAAAGGTAAAAAAAGGTAAAATGAAATTTGCTTTTTGTTTGATTTCTGTTTATATGGTACAAGAGGTAATAAGATGGTTAATTTCCACATGGGTATTCCTAACATAACATGTAATGAATTCAAATGTTACTGTTTTATATCAGTATACATTAAATTTTCTTTCTCTTCTGAACACATGTTAGACCGCCAATCTTCATAGAAGCTACTCTGGTTTGTTTGTATACTTTCAGAGCCAGCAAAGATAATTGAAACAAATCTGAATGTAAGCCAGGATATTGCGGCTGAGGTAGGGACCAATTTGACTATGTTCTGCAAGTCGGAAGGAAACCCACCACCACAAATTACATGGTTCAAGGTCAGTAGAATATTAATAACACAAAAGTATCTATAACTTAACTTATTTTTCCCTGTTCATAAGTTGCACAGTTTTCAAAAATAAATACCAAAATAACGATTCCCTTGAAATTAACATATTCTAAAGGTTCTGACAATGGTATATAATACTCAGAATTACTGAGTTTTTGGATTTTGTCCATGGTCCATTATTATAAAAAACTAGAGAACACAACATTTTGAAAAACTGGATCTGTTTCTGTCCTCAGGTGGGTGGAGGCACGTACTCTGTTAGGTCCCTTAGAAAGAGCTAACCTCAATAACTCAGTCATCCAGTGATTTAGGTTACCTATTCTAAGGGGTCCAACAGAGTATATGTCCCCCCTTCTTACCTGAAGACAGAAACAGATCCAGTTTCCGAAACGTTGAATTCTCTAGTTCTTCAGAATACAAGAAAATGAACAAAGCCCAAAAACCCAATAATTCTGAGCCTCAAAACTAGTTCTGAAGCCGTATTTTTATGCGAATGATTAGCATTTCCTTTGTGCAGTTTTAATATTAGGTTTGAGATTAGTCATGATGAACATGTGTTGCATTTCCTGTACAATTCCCTGCCCAAAATAACATATGCTTCATGTCCATCAGAAGTTACGTAATGATGTGACAGTCATTTATGAATTCCTTCATAAGTGATGATATTCTGAAATATCTGACACAGTTTGGCATGCCAAAGAAACTGTCATTTGGATACACTTCTATGTGCATATAACTTCTTCATCCTCATCACTTTGTTCTTCTCCATTTCTTATTCTTCATTGGCTCAATACTCTGATGTGAGTTTTGGGCTCTATTATTCATAGAAAATTTCTTAATTGTATTTGGATATGCAGTGTTATTCCTCAGATGGAGATATAGGTAGCAGGTACATAAATTAAGTTAAGAACATTACTGCTGACTGACATACTATCAGTATGTTTTATGTATTGAATTCTTGATTTGTGTTTGTTGGGCACTGAAGCCAGGATACTTCAGTTAGTATATCATAACATTCAGGTGAGCTTTTGACCCCATTCAGTCTTTTACCCACTGTGTACCAGGGGCTCTTTCCCCATGGGTAAAGCTGCTGGGATGTGAAGCTGACCACTTACCTCCATCTGTCACCAAGCACACAGCTGTACCCTCACTTCCCCATACCTCTTCATGGCATCATGCTTAGTTAAGCACAGGGAAAATTTTACCTTTTTATCATCATCCATGTTGTAAATGTTTATCCCAAAACAATAAATTAAGTGTACTATTTAAGCCATATGTTCCTTGAAGCAAGTATGTTCTAACACAGATGGGAACATAATAAATATGACTTTGAGATTTTAATGGCTGCATTGTTGATGTATGTGAACTTCAGCACTGGATGTGCGGTGTTTACCATGTTGATATTCTTACTCAGGCTTTTATTTGGTTTTCCATATTTAGGATGGCAAGCCATTGGACAAGGACAGCACATTCGAGCTGAAAGACAGCAACCAGACACTCGTGATCAAAGGAGTGAGGCAGGAAATGAAGGGATTGTATCGCTGTGTGGTGCATAACAAGCTGGGCGAAATGCAGATAAGACAAGTTGTCAATGTTACAGGTACTTATGGATTTGCATGATGGTATACATTTATGACAAAGAACAGCTAATTTTATGTTATTTACAGAATTTGGAAGACAATGCTGCTATGTAACTCAATAAAGTGGAAGAAAATGTAAATACAGTCAACTCTCGATTATCCGGGATAATGGTGGGGATGGAAATCACGATTAATCGAAAACCCGGTTAAGACAAATTTTATTAAAAGTAGTACTCTAATACTGTACCTTCATAATACTATAGGCTTACCTGTATTTAAATTTATTCAACCTCATTTTTATGTCATCTCATGGCCTATTTAATACTTTTTTACATTACACTGAAGTATGAATTAGTTATTTCAATCACAGTCTTCAACAACATCCAACACTTCTTACAAATATTCACAATTAACACTTAAAAAAATTAATATTGTCATTTACTTTTTCGCGGCATTTTCCTTTTTCTGTTGAATACTTAACACAACATGCTTCCTTTTACACCCTGACATTTTGCTAACACACTTGAAGATCGATACAAAGAAACTAACTGGGGCGATGTATCTGTCCTTGAAACTTTCCACAAATCCTTGCATTCTTTCACCCCTATCCTAGAACATTGTGTTAGCATAACGGGACCAAAGAATGCAGAGCTCGATTCACACTAGTGCGAAAATCGTGTTACAACTCACCATGTGAAACAAAAGTGAATGAATATTAAACAACATATAAGCCTCAAAAAAGCCTCAGTAGCCCCGGTTAAGCCGCAAACCGGTTAATCCGCCCCCGGATAATCGAGTTGACTGTACCTACAAATGTGGGGAGTTTGATTACAGGGAGTAAAGAAAGTTGTGTAGAGCTGAATGTAAGAACATGAAATAACTTACATCCACATCAAATGCATTAAAGAACAAAAATTTTAGATCATTTTAAAGGTGTAAAAATGGGGAGCACTCAAAGACTATAATTCATTCCATAATTATGTTCAGAGAAAAGTAGCATCAAGAATTCATTTTTGATATTTAGTTCAGAAATCTGTGTTCCATTGAGTACTCTCCCAGTTATCTGTGTTAATGAAGTGAAAGGAGATGATAATAGAAAAACATAGATGATCCAACTTTCTTTCACAGCATATTTTGCTCCAGTAAAAATTTAGTATGTTATGAACAGAATGGCGTGTACATATTCATTGAGTTAAAACTCTCCAGTCTAAATGAATGAAGTAATGACTTCACAGCTTTTCATAAAGTCATCCAATATCAGATTTTATGAAAATCCACCCAGTAATTCTTGAGTTATTTCAGTTGTACAGACAGATGAATAAACAGACTGAGCGAAATTAATAGGCCTCCATGGGGTTTTGAATGTACCTAAAATGCATAGAGATAAGCCACCATCCAGATAATTCACATGTGGATAAACAGGAATATATTATAATTAGAAGGTCCAAATGTGGATAATCATGAATATTTTGTAATTCAAAGGTCCAAATGAAGTTGTGAAAATGGTATCAAAGTTTGTGTGGCTGAAATACAAGGCAATTCTAAAGTAGATGAAATTTTTAAGACTGTATATGTGGTTTCTTTTACTGTTCAACACAAAACGTTTAGATGTAGTGAATACCTGAATACTTCAGTAATTATGGCATTTTCTTGTGCTGTATCCATAATCTGACTCAATACATAATTTTAAAAGCCACTGAGTTTTGTAGAATTGCTCCCTTTCCATCCTCAGATAAAAGACAAAACAGAGAAGCCTACTCTTACCTCAGAACTCAGAAAATAGAAGGATGGATTACAGTTGTGATATTTATTGTCTTGGTTCTGTTAGTTTCAGAAGTCTTTGAAAGAGAGAAGCAGAAACAGTGTACTGAAGGACTTGCCACTATCAAAATATTTAACGTCCCATACTACAATTAACGACCACCTCTGTCGTCTAGTGGTCAGAGTTCCTGGCTACAGATCCAAAGGTCTGGATTCGATTCCCGGCACTACCAAATTTTCTGAGAAGTACTGGGTCTGGAACGGGGTCCACTCAGCCTTGTGAAGATAAATGGATAGCTATTTCAAGGAAATAGCCGCTCTGGTCTAGAAAATCAAAATTAACGGCCATGGGGATTTGTTGCACTGACAATGTGACACCCTCTGTCCGCTAAAGTTGGCACTAACTTCACTGACAAGTGGTAGTCTCTCGGTCGGTTGGTATAGTTGACTTGCGGACTAAAACCACGGAGTTTTTTTTTCCTTTTGTTTGTATACCACAATTAACAATTATGAAAATTTAACAGAAAGATTTTCATCATTCATGGCACCCAAAACTCCTTCAAAATATCATACAAATTAATCATTCAAAGGATACTGAAAAGTTAGTGAAAGTGTGTATTTTCCAGTCAACAGCCTGAATTACTGTTTTGTCTGTTTGGTTACAGTACAATGTTCATAATGAACAACATGTGTTGCTATCATTACAGGCGATTCAACAAACTCTGCAAGAGTTATAACTGTCATAGTAGTATTCACACTTGTTGTGGTCATGCTGGTTGGAGCCACTGTGATTTACATCCGAAGTGATGGGGTGAGTACCACAACAAGCTCTTCTAAAGAATTAAGCCATGTAGTACTTTCACAGTGACAATTACAGTGATAAAGTGTGCACACTAAAATTAAATGTTGTTGTGTGTCTCATTCAGTTTCATTCATTATTATTTTTTTTATAACATTATAATTGCAGTGCTAAAGCAAAAATGAAAACTACACAGGTCTGCAACCAAAAAACTGCATAGGATATTTTTACTATTTCTCATAGATTTTTACTCACTGAAACCGGAAATAGTAAAAAAAAATCCATCATGTCAATTTTTTTGCAAAACTCATATTTTTAGTTTAATTTTGCGTGAAATTTCTCTTCAACATGAAATCTTGTATCCTATTGTTGATTCTAAAAACCATATCCAATAATTATTTACTTTAAAATAATATTTATAAGAGTGACTCTAAAAAATAATACAAATAAAATGGGGGGGGGCAGTGGAAGGGGTTGGTAGGGTGGGTTTGGCGGTGTGAGGAGCTCAGGCGATCATGTCCCAACACGTTTACTTTGTTTGTAGCGATAGGTGAGGAATCTTACTAGCTCGGTTGAGCATGTTTGGACATGTTCTTTGGGTCAATAGGAATGAGTATAAACAAGCCTGCTGTCTGATTTGATCATGTCTCAACATGCTAAATGAGTTCAGGATCTTGGTTGATGTATAAGCCACTCAGTTTACATCCTGCATTCAAACGTGACTGTGCTTGTGTTTTAGCTCTGTATTATGGCTCAAAGAGGTTGTGTTATTTCTCCGGACAACTTTTGTTTTCTTTGTGGTGAATACATAGTTAAAAGTCAACAAAGAAACATAAGTGATTTTGTGAAGAAAGTGTATTTTGCTTATTTCAAATTGAAACTTGGGGATCAAGACAAACCTTGGGCTCCTCATAAGGTGTGCAGAAGGTGCGAGGAAGATCTTCATTTGTGGTTTAAGGGTAACAAGAACTCATTTCGTTTTGGCTTTCCTGTGATGTGGCTTGAACAGCAAAACCACACAACTGATTGTTATTTGTGTTTGGTAGATGTGAAAGGCTTTAATACAAAAAATAAAAATAAAATATCTTACCCAAACCTTAATTCAGCTATTCGTCCAGTGCCTCATAGCTCTGAAATACCAGTTCCCCTCCCACCTTCCAGTTTGGATGATATACAGAGTGATTCGGAGGACAGAACTATATTACCACCCCAGGATGAATCCAGCTCAGATTTTTCTGTTGATGAGGGACCCCAACCTTTTTCTCAGAGTGAGCTCAGTGACTTAGAGATTTAGGCCTTTCCAAAGATGCAGCCAAATTGCTAGGGTCAAGACTAAAGAATAAAAACTTGCTGTCACCTGGAACATCATTTTCGTGGTACAGGCACCGAGAGAAGGAATTCACTCAGTTTTTCTCAAAAGAGGGAAATGGGAGAAAAAGAAAAAGAAGCATGGGACTCCTTCAAAGACGGAGTGCACAAGTTTTTGGGGAACACTAAAGACCCTCTCTACAAAACCAATGTACAACGCATGTTGGCTGCATATAAAGCTCAAGATTGCAAGATGAGCTTAAAAGTTCATTTCTTACACTCCCATGTCAACTATTTTCCCGAAGACTTGGGAGCCTATAGTGAAGAGCAGGGTGAACGATTTCACCAGGATGTCCGTGATATCGAAAGACACTACCAAGGAAGATGGAATGCGAATATGCTAGCTGACTGCTGCTGGATGATCAAGCGGGAAACGGAAAATGGAAAGCGAAAGCATGTTCGGAGAAGCATCAAAGAGAAGAAGAAAAGGTTTCACAGGCAAAAAGACTGAACACAGAATGTTAAACATATCATGAAGGAATTGTTTAATTATGAGAAATAATATGTTTAGTTCAGTGTAATAAAATTAGTGATTTTTTTCATCACTGTTATGATTTTTTATTGTAAACCCCTATTATTTTCCAAAAAACCGTACGTGATAGGGGGAAATTGAGGTAATTTTTGGATTCAGCATCCTAGAAAACATAAAGTTTACCAAAAATATTCCATGCAGCTGAAAAAAAAATTATTTTTGCAGACCTGTGCTATTGATAATAAAGTATCTTTATAGACTTTACTATACATTTTATTTAAATTAATTTTTACTAGCCTGACTAGTTTTGTGGGTTTATCAGATTAAATGAGAATTATTTACAACTCTTCTCTTAACTGAATCAAAGGCTCTTTGAAAACCTATAAATAGCTAATATAGTGTTCAATTTGACTCCTGCTTTTAACCCATCATCTGATGAATGCGGAATATCTCATACTGTACAGGTAACTGTTTTACAAAAACTAGATTTATGACGTATCACTATAATGAAGAGTGTTGATTTTTAACTGTTTTTCCACCTAATAAAATCCATTATAGCTGCAGCAGGCAATTTACATTCATAATATTTGTGCAGGAGGGAGGTGGAGAAACACATATGCAGCAAATTAGTATCATTTACTGTTCTTGCTACCACACCAACATGCTGTCTGCATTAATTTTTGAGCCATGAAATTGTGCAGCTAAAAGGCTTTGTTTGCATGATAATGAAGCTGCATCGTTGCATTGCATCAGCTATGGGAAAATAAACATAAATAACATAGTGGATTTTTATTTGCAACAATAAATATTGTGACATGTTGCGAAATCCGAGCCCCCCCCCCACACCAGCAGTGACGCGGCGGGTGAGTCAGCGCTCCCCTCCCACCCCTCAGCGGTAACCCCGCAATGCGCAAAGCGCGGTGACGTCACGAGCGGAGCCGAAGAGAGCCGAGCGGAGCCGAAGATAGCCGAGCCCCGTAACCTGGCAACTACGCAATGCTAATCAACAGCGGTGACGTCACGCTAGCAACAGCGTCCTATGCTATACGCCACGTCACACTAGCAACA